AAAGGTGCTACGAAGCTTATCCCCAAAATGGCGTTCAAAGGTGGACGCAATTGAAGAAGGTCGTGACTTCCAAACAACGACCTATGATGCTCTTCGAGGTAATCTCATTACCTACGAAACCACCCAACTCTCAAAGGTCGTTGAAGAGAAGAGCAAGAGGTCTATTGCTCTACCCGCAACAACATCATCCCACAACAACGTTGATAATGAAGATGATGACAGCGACGACACCAACCTTGGACTCTTTGTCCGAAAATTCAAGAAGATGATGCTCAAGAGGGGAGCCAAGAAGAACACTCCACCCAAGTGCTATGGGTGTGGTGAAATTGGACACATCAAACCATTGTGTCCAAAGCTCAAGAACGAGAAGGACAAGAGGGAACCAAAGAAGCAACGTGCCTATATTTCTTGGGAGAACAACGGCTCCGGGATTGAAGACTCGGAAACGGAGGAAGTGGCCAACCTATGTCTCATGGCCATTGAGGATGGTGAAACATCAAAAGAGGTAAGTGATCAAGAACCTTCTCCCAATGATCCTTTAACTCTTAATGATTTTGTTTGCATTGTAGAAGAACTTGTAGGAATGTTCAAAAAGGCTTCCAAAGAAAATAATGAAGTTAAACAAAAATCCTGATTTTTGAAAAAGATGTAAAAGAACTCAAAAATATAAATGATAAACTTAAACAAGAAATTATCTCTTTTGGAAAAAGGCCACAAGAACCTTCATCTACTTCTTCTACATGCTCTAGTTGTACATCACTAAAAGCTAAGGTTGCTAGTTTAGAGAGCAAATTGGGAAAGTTTAGTAATGCTTCAAACACCTTAGATAAAATACTTAAGCAAAGAGTTAGTAATGGTGAAGGACTCGGATATAAGAAAAACCAACCTAGAAAAACAACATTTGTTAAAGGTAGGGGAAATAAAAATGCGAGGACAAATAATCAAATTAGAAGAGCACCTCCTAACAAACCTAGAACTCATTACACTCAACCATATAGGATGAATAATCCAAACGTTATTTGCCATTATTGTAATAAGATAGGTCACATTGCACCCATGTGCTTCACCAAAATTAGGCATTTTCAACAAACGCACACACATAGCACATATGCTAACCAAAAAGGACCCAACAATACATGGGTACCTAAACCGTCTCCTTGATATCTTTTTGTAGGTGTGCTTGAAGGCTTCGAGTACCTCTTGGTATCTCGATAGCGGATGCTCCAAGCACATGACCGGAGACGCATCCAAATTTAGGAGTTTAGAGTATTTCAAAGGTGGAAATGTCGTTTTTAGTGACAACAACAAATGATAATTGGAAATGGCACCGTCGGGAGAGACAATGCTACAACCATTGAGAACGTTCTTCTTGTTAAGGGCCTCAAGCACAATCTTCTTAGTATTAGTCAATTGTGCGATAGAGGTAACCGTGTCATCTTTGATTCTAGTAAATGCATTGTAGAACGCTTGTGTGACAATAAGACTATTCTTTGTGGTAATAGAGTAGATAACATTTACATGTTTGATCTTGAAAATTCCTCATCTACTTTAGCTAAGTGCCTCATTACCAAAGAGGAAGAAACGTGGCTATGGCATCGTTGGATAGCACACGTTAATATGGACCATCTTAATAAGTTGGTTTCTAAAGACTTAGTAATTGGTGTTCCTAAACTTAAGTTTGAGAAGAATCTAATTTGTGATGCATGTCAAAAGGGGAAGCAAGTAAGGGCCTCGTTTAAGTCAAAGAACGTTGTTTCTACGACTAGGCCATTACAACTTTTGCACATGGGCCTTTTTGGACCTTCAAGGACTATGAGTTTAGGAGGAAATTACTTTGGCTTTGTTATCGTTGATGACTATTCGAGGTTTACATGGACACTTTTCCTTGCTCATAAGTGTGATGCACTTAATGTTTTTAAGAAATTTATCAAATTGGTTCAAAATGAAAGGGATTGTCTCATTTCATCCATTAGAAGTGATCACAGGGGAGAATTCGATCAACATGGCTTTGACGCCTTATGTGAAGAATTAGGCATTGAGCATAACTTCTCGGCCCCCCGTACACCACAACAAAATGGCGTGGTTGAACGGAAAAATAGGTCTCTTGAAGAGATGGCTAGAACTATGCTCAATGAGGCTAACCTTCCTAATTTTTGGGCGGATGCCGTGAGTACCGCGTGCTACGTGTTATACCGAGCCATCATTAGACCGATACGCAAGAAAACGCCCTACGAACTTTACAAAGGAAGAAAACCTAACCTTTCCTATTTTCATGTCTTTGGATGTAAAGTTTTTATTCATAATAATGGAAAAGATAACTTGGGAAAATTTGATGCTAAATCGGATGAAGGAATTTTCTTAGGTTATTCTCTTCGTAGTAAGGCATATAGAGTGTTCAACAAGCGTACTGAGACCGTAGAGGAGTCTATTCATGTTGTTTTCGATGAATTTGATGCTCGCTTGGCGAGAAAAGGTATTGTTGACAATGTTGCAGGTTCTTATGACGATGAAGAAGAAATCGTTAAGGAAAAGGAACAGGAAGAAGAGAAAACACAGGAGCAAACGGAGCTTCCTAAGGAGTGGAGATCGTTGAAGAATCACCCGATTGACAACATCATTGGTGACATAACGCAGGGAGTTTCTACTCGTAATTCTCTTAGGAACACAATTAATCACATGGCCTTTGTTTCACAAATTGAACCAACAACCATTTTGGATGCTATTAATGATGAACATTGGTCTATGACAATGCAAGAGGAGCTTAACCAATTTAAACACAATGATGTTTGGGAATTGGTGCCTAGACCTAATGATCATTCCGTTATCGGCACAAAATGGGTGTTTCGTAACAAACTCGATGAAAATGGAGTAATCACTAGAAACAAAGCTAGGCTTGTAGCTAAAGGCTACAATCAAGAAGAAGGCATTGATTATGAAGAAACCTATGCACCGGTTGCACGTTTAGAAGCTATTCGTTTATTACTTGCTTTTGCATCTACGATGGATTTTAAACTTTATCAAATGGATGTTAAAAGTGCCTTCCTTAATGGTATCATTCAAGAGGAAGTATATGTCAAACAACCCCCGGGTTTCGAAGACTATGAGTTTCTCGAACATGTCTTCAAACTCAAAAAGGCGCTTTACGGTCTCAAACAAGCACCTCGTGCTTGGTATGAACGGTTAAGCAAATTTCTTTTGGACCATGAGTTCAAACGGGGTCAATTCGACACTACTCTTTTCATCAAGAAAGATAACCAAGACATCCCTTTTGGTTCAAGTTTACGTAGATGATATCATATTCGGTGCTACTAACAAGGTTTTGTGCAGGGATTTTTCCGATATGATGCAAAGTAAATTTGAAATGTCGATGATGGGAGAATTAAAGTTCTTCCTTGGGCTGCAAATTAGACAATGCAAAGAAGGGACATTCGTGTGTCAAACAAAATATTGCAGGGAATTGCTTAAGAGATTCGATGTTACCGAATCCAAATCCATTGGCACACCAATGAGCTCCTCTTGCTATCTCGACAAGGATGAAAATGGTAAAGAGGTAGATATCAAGCGCTACCGAGGTATGATAGGCTCTTTACTTTATCTTAGCGCGAGTAGACCGGATATCATGTACTCCGTTTGTATATGCGCTAGGTATCAATCATGTCCTAAAGAGTCGCACTTGGTTGCGATTAAAAGGATAATGCGATATCTCGCGGGCACGTTGAACGTAGGTCTTTGGTATCCCAAAGGTTCGACATGTCATCTTATTGGCTATTCCGACTAGGATTTTGCAGGTTGCAAACTCGATAGGAAAAGTACCAGCGGTACTTGCCACTTATTCGGTCATTCGTTAATCTCGTTGTTTAGTAAGAAACAAGTTAGTGTTGCACTTTCCACCACCGAAGCGGAATATGTCGCTGCGGGAAGTTGTTGTGCCTAAATTCTTTGGCTAAAATAGCAACTTGTGGATTTCGGCCTTATACTTGATCACATCCCAATTAGGTGTGACAATATGAGCGCTATTTGTCTAACGAAGAACCCCGTTCTTCCCTCGAGGACTAAACACATAGAAATTAGGCATCACTTCATACGAGATCATGTCCAAAAGGGAGATGTCACAATTGAGTTTGTTGAAACGAAACATCAATTGGCAGACATTTTCACGAAACCCCTTAGTAGGAAGAGTTTCTTCCACATTCGGAACGAACTTGGCATTTTGGATATCTCTATGAACTAATTCATTCTTTTTATTTACTTTACTAATTTGAGCGTCGGAGGCGCGATAAATTCTTTTTTGTAGGGCTTTTATTTCAGGTATCTGTTCCCTTGGCATTCAACCGAATTGGACTTAATGATTTCTTTTCTGCCTAACTGTTTTTAATCGATTAGTCCTCAAAGAGAAATCGATTAGAGGCGTCTGTCCATCTTAATCGATTAACCATCTTTGTTTAATCGATTAATAGCCTTCAGCGCAAACGTCTTTGGTTCTGCTTCACTTCTAATCGATTAATCAGTTTAATTTAATCGATTGGCCTCGGATGTGTTCCTTAATTGATTAAAGAACCTTTATTTATCGGTTAATATTCGATTTTTGCTTCTCTTTAAAATCAGACAGTGCCTTCATTTCACAGCCATCTCAATTTTACAGAGACCGTGCGAAACCCTAGCCTCCTCTTTCAATTCCATCTCCGCTTTTCCTCAACAATTTCATCACCAAATCTCACCAAATTTTATCAATTTCATAGAGGAAAGATGCCAAGGTGCAACATCGCTTCATCGCGTCAAGAATCGGCGGCAGAAGAAGGTGAGAGGCCATGGCGTCGTGAAGGGAGCAAGTACATCCAAATCGGCGACCTATGCCCCGAGTAAGTCTCTTTTCTCTCAGCAAGGTTTGCTTCGTTTCATCTATTTGACGTATGAATTCTTTTGTCCAAATCTTATACGTCAATTTTATGCAAATCTTCGTACCACTAAGGGAGACTTGCCATTTCTCATTTCCTATGTTGACGGCAAAACCGTTTTCATTGACGGTGCCGGTTTGACTTCTCTGTTTGGCCTTCATCGAGGTGAAATTACCGAAAACTTAAATGAAACATTCCAAGATGAGGCAATTTGGTGACAATTCGGGTTAGATCATCGTGACCTCAAGTTTAGAAATTTCTTGCAACCCGAGGGTCATTAATCTTACTTTGATTCAACACGTCCACAATACATCTTCTCCTATGTTTTGTTGCCCCGTGATTCGAACCATGGCGTTGTCAACAAGGACGATATTCATTTGTTTCACGTCCTGTTGAACAATGTCAAATTTGATTGGGTTCACTTCTTTATCGTTGCACTTAGTGATGGCACTCGTTTTTCCCATCTCCGTTTTGCCATCCCCATCATGCATATCCTTGCTCATTGCAAAATAGACCTTGCTCGGGACACTTAGGTGCCGGTCAAGAAGACTTGCTACATCAAGGACACCAAGTTTTCCCGGATCGTGTACCGTGAGGAGGGCGATGCTGCACCAAATCTGGACCTGGTAGTCGCAAAAGAAGAAGAGAGCAAAAACGAGACTCAAGCCGAGTCATCACGTGTTGGAGGAAGTCGAGCCACGGAGCGCATCACTCGTCAACGCAGGACTCGTCCGAGAGAAGAAGCACCAGAACCTTCTTGGGTGAAGAGGATCTTTGATACTCTCACCTGCATCCGAGATGACGTTCGCCAGCTCAACGAGAGGATGACTTGTTTCGAGCAATCCCGCTCTTACCGTGGCCCGCGTCACAGCTTCAGCGGAGGAGCTCGTCCGGCGAACTCTCTTTGATTTCTTTGGTGCTTTCTTTTTATGCCTTGTTAAGATACACTGTTAATTGTTATTGCTTTTATAACTCTTTTGGTGGATGATGATAATGCTTTGGCGAATGACTTTTTACTGTTGTTAACTGTGTATTGATGTTGTTTTTGACAATATTAATCATTATTAGAACATATTGTCCCTTTGTGGCATTTTTTTTAGGAATTCTCTATTTTTAGAAAACTCTTGCAAATTTTTTTTTATCCTTCAATATCCCAGCATTGATTAAGGGGGAAGGAAATCGGTTGATAATGCCAAAAGGGGGAAGGAAGGATAGTTGAGAAAACTTGTTTTTCAAAAACGTTTTTTGTTATACCCGAACTGGGGGTCTTAACGAGTTGTTATTTTGAGAAGGAATTAAGGGATGATGCAGCTTGAGTTCAAGGTTCAGGAGCAGGTGATAATCGATTATGGCCAGATGATAATCGATTGTGGAGCTATGCTGCTAAAACCCATAAACTTCAGGGAAAGCGAATAGTCAAATATCCTGACTTGGGGTTTAAGAGATATTACACACTCTTATCCTGACTTGGGGTTTGAATCTAGAATTTAATTAAGATATGACACACTTAATCAAATATCTAGAACCTAAAACTCACACTCAAGATAACCACTCTTAAGATATAGAATTAGGAATTTGGCTAAAATAGCATCACACTATTTTATAAATACTTAAAGAGTAAAAGGAGTTTTAATATTCAAAGTTATGTTTAGAATGGCCATAGGGCCTGATTATATAGGGAGAGGGGAAGGGGGAAATACAAAATACATTGAATGTAGACATGAGGAAGCTTCCTAGCAACATCCTCTCTCAAAGCATGGGGCATTCTTCATTCAAACCTGTCTCCTTAGTGGGATAAAATTCAGGGATGGGGCTGGTGTCGTGGGGGTTTGTGTTTTGGTTCCTTGTAGTTGTTTCCTGGGTTTTTTTGTGGCTATTATTTAGGTAAAAATGGGGGTTGTTTTTGGCTAATAAAAGGGGGCATGGATGGGGGATATAATGGGTGGTTTTGGACTTATAGGTTTGGGTTATTTGTGAGGGAATATGGGCAGGAATGTGTGGCTAGTGGTGGGTCAGGTTTTTGGCCTTTTGTGCGTGTTTTGTTGGGATTGAGAGGGATATTTGGACAGGGATTCAAAGGAAGGGAGAGAAGGTTTTATTTGTTTATTAAAAGAAAGGAAATAACAACAAACAAAAGGTTTTGGTTTCTTATTATTGACCAGGGATTAAAATAGATAGAAAAGGCTTTATTTTAGAATAAAAGAAAAGATAAAAGTCTTTTGGATATGTTGGGAGGGGTTGGGATCTTGGTGGAGCCATCCAGGGGTATAACATACTCCCCTTCTTCAAAAAAGTTTGTCCTCAAACTTTCGCACCACCGTGGGAGATTGATGGTTTCATAAAAGTATTCCCGGATCAAATGGGAAACTTAATGAACCACCAATATTGAAGTTCACTCCGGACTTAGTTGGCACCTCGTAGTGTAATTTCCGGAATATGTTGGCAACCTTGGTTAGTACCTGCTTCACATATCCTTCAAAGATGAAATAAGATTCTTCTTCACCAATTGGATGATAATACTCTATGGAATTTAATTCCTTAGAATATATAACATCCAGTGTAGTTTCCTCCACCACAACCTCGGAATCTGGTTCTTTAACGAAGACGTCATTTTCATCTTTGACTTGAAAATCAGAGACGTCTTCAACAATGACAAGCTGGTCGTTGAAGCTTTTCTTTTCCTCTTCACAAATTGTTTCTTCAATCAAAACTTTTGCACATGAAGCTTCTTCATTAATCTTGGCCCATTCTTCATACGGTACAGCATGTTCATTTGGGCATATCCAGTAGATATGACCATAGCCACAACACTTGTAGCACCGTTGAGTTGGCCCTTGCAAGATAGCCTCATTGGCGTAGATGATCTCTAGATTTTTGAGGTATCTTTGAACATCCATATCTTAACAACCAGATATTGGAATGATGTAATTCCAACTCTCGGAGTTAGATATTGATGTCCTTAAAGACATATCAAAAATTTAAAAGCATTGAAAATCATTTGATGCTTTGTTGGAGGTCAAATGAGTAAGGTATCCAGACTGTTGGTAGAATTGCGTCTTTAACTTCGAATGGACGTATCTCCCAAACCGTAAGTCGGAATTGAGTGAAATCAGCAGCCAGACGTAGATAAAAGAGCAAACTTCCAAACTGGAAAGTTTTACCTTAAAATCAATTGTGTACCTTCCTCCGTGATCAAATCTTTGGAGCTGACAATTTCTGGAAAATTTTGAGAAACATTGCTAGTGCAGCGTTTTCGTCGCCGGTCCTCTGGGTAGTCGTCGAGACTTAAAAAAGTCGTCGAAGCTGAGCTTTGATACCAGATGTTATACCCGAACTGGGGGTCTTAATGAGTTTTTATTTTGAGAAGGAATTAAGGGATGATGCAGCTTGAGTTCAAGGTTCAGGAGCAGGTGATAATCGATTATGGCCAGGTGATAATCGATTGTGGAGCTGTGCTGCTAAAACCCAGAAACTTCAGGGAAAGCAAATAGTCAATTATCAGTATATGATAATCGATTATTGAGGCTCGCAGCTTTTTCCAAGGGAATTCGCGAGGGGAAGATAGTCGTGACAAAGAGTGATAATCGACTGTTGGAGACTGCAGGATTTCAAGAGGAAGTGGTAATCAATTGTCTAAAGTGGACAGTCGATTATTGAAGGCTGCAGGTGTTTTAACGATGATGGATAATCGATTGTCAATCAAGATAATCGATTGTTGGGCAGAATTCTAGGCAGGAAAAAGGGTGTTTTGTGGGGAAATGGCTTGAAAATATATAGAGATGATAAAGGACTTCTTTTGGGTTTTTTTTAATGGAAGAAAAGAGTAAGATTAAGAGGAGAAATGGGGAGATATGGAATGGAAGAAATGAGTGATGGATAAACCAAGTTGGTGTTTAAGAGATATTACACACTCTTATCCTGACTTGGGGTTTGAATCTAGAATTTAATTAAGATATGACACACTTAATCAAATATCTAGAACCTAAAACTCACACTTAAGATAACGACTCTTAAGATATAGAATTAGGAATTTGGCTAAAATAGCATCACACTATTTTATAAATACTTAAAGAGTAAAAGGAGTTTTAATATTCAAAGTTATGTTTAGAATGGCCATAGGGCCTGATTATATAGGGAGAGGGGAATGGGGAAATACAAAATACATTGAATGTAGACATGAGGAAGCTTCCTAGCAACATCCTCTCTCAAAGCATGGGGCATTCTTCATTCAAACCTGTCTCCTTAGTGGGATAAAATTCAGGGATGGGGCTAGTGTTGTGGGGGTTTGTGTTTTGGTTCCTTGTGGTTGTTTCCTGGGTTTTTGTGTGGCTATTATTTAGGTAAAAATGGGGGTTGTTTTTGGCTAATAAAAGGGGGCAGGGATGGGGGATATAATGGGTGGTTTTGGACTTATAGGTTTGGGTTATTTGTGAGGGAATATGGGCAGGAATGTGTGGCTAGTGGTGGGTCAGGCTTTTGGCCTTTTGTGCGTGTTTTGTTGGGATTGAGAGGGATATTTGGACAGGGATTCAAAGGAAGGGAGAGAAGGTTTTATTTGTTTATTAAAAGAAAGGAAATAACAACAAACAAAAGGTTTTGATTTCTTATTATTGACCAGGGATTAAAATAGATGGAAAAGGCTTTATTTTGGAATAAAAGAAAAGATAAAAGTCTTTTGGATATGTTGGGAGGGATTGGGATCTTGGTGGAGCCATCCAGGGGTATAACATTTTTCCGCTTTTTACTCCGATATTTTTTCTGCACTTCTATAACCTTGCAGGGGGAATTATTTCTTGAACTCTTACTTTGCTTTTTCTCAACTATGTTTTTCATTATCAAAAAGGGGGAAATTTTTGGACATGAGTTCAAACCCCTTTATTATTTTTCTAGAATATTTTTTGTTTTGATGAATGACAAACAGGATGATTATATTCAAGCTGATCGAAAATTTATTTTACGTATCAAGAATAGCAAAGAGGCGTATCAAGATATTTTCGTGATAAAATCAATGCTTACCCCTACGCAGACTTTTGAAGTGAAGTGAAGATTCCGAAGACCTTTTATTTTTTATTAAGTCTAGGAATATGTGTAAGGATGACAATACTTTCTGCATAAACAAATTAATTTTGAGGGATAAAAATTATTTTTTTCTGAGTGAGTTAAAAAATTATTTCTCCTCTGTCTAAAAATAATTTACTGAGTCAGTTTCAAAATATTGTGTCAAAATTTCTTAAAAATATTTTTTAAGGATACATATTTTTTTGGTAAGAAAAATACACTTTAAATATTTTTTGTACATTGTTTGACACACAAAATAATTTTTGGACTCACTTTTTCTCCCCTTTATGTTTGCGCATTATTTCCACTTTAATCGATTAAATTTTCTAAAATAATCGATTAGATCCAATTTCTCAGCGCTGGATTTCTCAGGCCAATAGACTTAATCGATTAAATTTCTCCATTTAATCGATTAGTTTAAACAAAGCAAGCTAATCGATTTTTCTCTATTTTTTAATCGATTAATTCCACCTTTGCATTCAGGCCTTTTCGCTTATGTACACTTTAATCGATTAAAGTCCCTATTGCCTATTCTTAGTTCTTTTCAGTGGCTCCAACGGATCTTTTATCCTCAGCCTATTTAATCCCTCATTTTCCTCCATTTCTACACACTACTCTTGCACTCTAATATACCCTTTGAGCTATATTTATTCCTTGCTTCATCTTCCTCATCAAAATATTATTTTTGAGAGTTAGAAATATTTTTTCTTTGAGTGCTAAAGAAGTTGTCATCCATAGAGCTTTATTCCTTCAACACTACTTTGCTCAAATTTTGTGAGCTTTCATTCTTGTGTTGTAAACTCAATCCTATTTGAGTGTTGCTAAGACTTGTGTGATTCAAGTCTTGTTGTTGTTAAGACTTGTGTGACTCAAGTCTTGTTGTTGTAAGAAAGTGAGGCTTGTGTGATTCAAGTTCTCAAGTTGTACTGGTTTTTCAAGCACCCGTTGAAGCTTGAAGATTAGTAGGACTTTCGAGAGAGTCTCTCGGAGGACTGGACTAGCCTCGAGGTGGTGAACCAGTATAAATCTCGGTGTTCCTCTCTCCTTTACTCTCTTTATTTATTCCTGCGATTTTATTATTTCACACACGCGAAAAATGCACATTCTTGAAAACAACTCTATTCACCCCCCCCCCCCTCTAGAGTTGCACATTTGTCTAACACCTCACACGACCCTTTGGTAACTTCCTCATCAAAGACGGTTTTTTGTTTCGTGGCAACCAACTATGTATCCCAAAATGTAGTTTGCACGAAACAATAACTGAGGAGGTTCATGGTGGTTCTTTGGCTGGTCATTACGGAATGGATAAGACTTATATGATGCTTAAAGAGCATTACTACTGGCCAAAGATGGAGAGAGACACCAAACACTTTGTTCGGCGTTGTACTACTCGTCAACTCACTAAAAGCTATTCCAAAGCCGCACAAGGAATGCATATGCCGCTGCCTGTCCCATAAGCTCCTTGGGAAGACATGAGTCTAGATTTCATTGCCGGATTACCACGAACGCAGCGAGGAAAGGACTCAATCATGGTGGTTGTTGATCGTTTCTCAAAGATGGCACACTTTGTTCCGTGCCTAACCACTCATGTCGCTTCACAAATTGCAGATTTATACTTTAGGGATATTGTCAAACTTCATGGCATTCCCCGAAGTATGGTTTCCGATCGAGATAGCAAGTTCTTAAGTCATTTTTGGATGACTTTATGGAGAAAGATGGGTCCTAAACTCAAGTTTAAACTCAAGTTTAGTACTTCAAGCCACCCACAAACCGATGGCCAGACAAAGGTGACAAACCGAACACTTGGAACCATTCTTCGTGCCCTCATCAAAATGAACGTCAAGCAATGGGAGGATTAACTTCATTACGCCGAATTTGCTTACAGCCGCACCCCAAGCAAGACAACAAGCGTTTCACCATTTGTTACTATTTATGGTGTTAATCCACTTACCCCACTTGATCTTAATCCAACCTTAACAGATACAAAGTATAGTTGGGAAGCGGAGGAACGAGCACAGGAGATACAAGCCATTCACAATAAGGTTCGAGCAAAAATAGAGAAAATGAACGAGCCTGTCAGTGAGAAGATCAATAAGGAATGCAAGAAGATAGATTTCCAGCCTGGAGATCTTGTGTGGATCCACCTAAGAAAAGAACATTTTCCTTCAAAGCGCAAATCCAAACTACTGCCCCGAGGAGATGGTCCGTTCGAAGTCTTAGCTAAGGTTAATGACAATGCATACAAGATAGACCTGCCCGGAGGCTATGGGGTTTCAGCCACGTTCAACGTCACGGATCTCAGTCTGTACTTTGAGCCCGAAGATATTTCGAGTTTGAAGTCAAACTCTCTTGAAGAAAGGGAGGATGATGTACCCCGGGATGCTTCTACAAGAATGGAGGCTACACCACACACCATAAAACAAATCAAAGGGTTAATATCTAAGTGTTCTGATCCTTTTTGGGCTGAACTCATTAATCTTTTGTACCCTAAAACCCAAACCCTCTCTTCCAAAGCCTTCCTTGATATCAAACCATTCCATATCCTTCCCAAAATATCCAAAAGTCTTTTATTTTCATTTGATGATCAAAATACATTCTTTTCCCTCCTTTTTAGCCCTGAACAAAAATGAGGTCAAAAGGACAAACCTTGTGTATTGTTTCTACTTCTTTTATTCCTTTTAATTAGAATAAGACCTTCCTTTCAATTCCCTAAACCAAACCCACGACTTTCCCAAAATCAATTCCCAAGACAAACTCAATTCACAAAACAAAAACAAAATCAGTAAAAAGTTTTCCTTGATTGAATAGTGCTGATTTTGTCTTGTTGTTCAAAACCCAATCCCCTTCATATCTTTCAGCATATGGCCGAAAACACAACCCCATTTACCAAGGATAAAGATAAAAACATCAAGGAACCAAAACCATTGATTAAATTGATGTACCCCTGGATGACTCCACCAAAATCCAAACTCTCCCAACATATCCAAAAGTTTTCTTTCTTTTCTTGTATCCAAAATAAAGTGTTTTCCATCCATTTTCACCCCTCGTCGAAAATGAGAAGAAAATAAAAGCCAAAACCTTTGTTTCTTGTTTTTGCCTTTTCAAATCCTTATACAACAAAACCACAAAATATTCTCCTCTTTCTTTCCTAAATCTTGATCCTGAAAGCATGAATAATCGATTATACATAACTGATAATCGACTATTCTATCCCTCGGATTCCTCATCACAAACCAGCAACCTCCAACAATTGATTATCTCCAAACTGATAATCGATTATCTGTATTTTCTGAAAATACCCAGTTTTGTGCTAGTCTTGTTAATCGATTATCCTTGAGTGTTAGTCGACTATTGGGTGTCTCTGAACATTCTTGGTTTGGAAGTCATATCTTGGTAATCGATTATCAAAGAGTGATAATCGATTATTCTACATCCCTGAACCTTGAAACTCAAAGCTATTCAATTCCTGTTTGCCTTTTCTAAGCTTGGGTATTAGGCTGAANCTGTTTTGGCATTTTATTCACAATTGTCAAAAGCTTGATTTCCCTTTGTTTTCTTCCATAAAGGCATGAAATTTCTGCCCAAATAAACCCAAAGAAGATCAGCACAAAATCAGGAGAAGCATCATGGAAAATCAACTCACATGGATGGGCATTAAGCATTGATTTGTAGGAAAGAAGTAGGAAACTTCCTTGTTGTATTCTTCCTTCCTTTTTCTTGTATTTTTCCTTATTTGTGTTGTATAAATACTTCAGCCATGAGGCCATTGTAACACACCAGATTATTGAATAAAAAGTTTGTGTTACTCTTTGAGTAATTTCATTAAAATAGTGTGATGCTATTTTAGCAAAATTTCCTAATGAAATATCTCTAAAGTTGGCTACTTTTGAGTGCGTGTTAGGAGTCTAATTTTATACATTAGTAGTGATTATTAATGTGTAAAAGAAGATAAAAGCCCCAAGTTAAGATAAGAGTGTGTCATATCTCTTAACACCAACTTGGTTTATCCCTTCACTTTTCTGCCCATTTCATTCCTCTCCATTTTCTCTTCATAAACCTCATTCTATTCTATCTTCATTAATTAAAAAACACCAAAAAGAACTCTTGCCCACACTCCATATTTCATCCCTTTAATTCCATCATCCATTTCCTTCCGCAAATCCGCCACAAAATAGCTACTCGTTAAGACCCCGGGTCTCGGGTACAACATTTGGTATCGGAGCTATATTCGAAGACTTCCTTAAGTCTCGACGATCACCTTGAGGACCGGCTTCACAAACGTTACCCGAAACAAGGTTGCTGAATTTTTTTTCCAGAAACATTCAACTCCAAACAATTGAGCACGGAGGAAGTTACACAACATATTTTGAAGCGAAATTTTCCAGTATGAAAGTTTGACGTTTTTGCTACACGTGGCCGCTGATTTCACTCATTTCCGAGTTGTGGTTTGTGAGATACGCCCTCCCGAAGTTGATAACACAATCCTGGGCGAATTCTATCTACCTTGCTGAATTTGTCTCCAAAGAGGTAGCAAACGTTCTTTAGTGGCTATAAATTTTTTATATGTCTTTATGGACATCAATATCTAGCTGTGAGAGTTGGAATTACCTAATTCCGATCTCCGGTTTGTGAGATATGGTCTCTAAAAGACACCTCCGAAATCTGGAAATCATCCTTGCAAATGGAGCAATATTACAATGGGCCACTCGGCGGTGTTTCATGTGTGGTGGTTGTGGTCATGGCCATTGGGAATGTTCAAATAAGTATGCCATACCATATGAAGAGTGGGTCATGATTCATGAGGAGGAAAAGAGAAGCTCATGTGACCAAGTTATCATTGAGGAAGAAGTCTTTGATATTCTTGTCAAATATGAAGATGACGTCTTCGTAGAAGAACCAGCTTCTAATGCTCAGGAAGAATCACACTATAATAAGGAGTTTACAGTCTACACAAACATTTTTTTAAAAATTTATTATCTTTTAACAAACACATCATATAAAATCTTTTCAAAATCAATCCTTTTTGGAAACATCTTGCAACATTTTTATAACAATAGTGACTCATAATGGTTGTTTGACTCAAATAACTTTTTGAGACAAAATATTGATCATCATTATTTATTTGTATATATCTACCAAGTGGCTCAAATTAACAACTTATTTAAAAATTCTTTTCAAAAGATCAAAGTCATATAAAAATATTTGTAAGATATTTTCCGAGTTTCATCCCACAATTGTCTAAAAAACATTCACAAAATTATTTTTATTATTGTTTTTAAACATTTCAGAATTGAAACAATATTCTTTTACCAGAACCTTTATTTTGGTAGACGAACTCATAATCTTGGAGAAAAAAAATTATTTTATCAAGGTAATTGATACTCCCTCCGTCCGAAAATGTTCTTCCCATTTGACTTTTTACGGTCTCCAAGATTGCACTTTGACCACTAATATCTTTATTTATACATGGATATATTTTATAAAAATTTGATATTTGAAAACTATATTTCAAAATGAATATATTCATATTAAAGTTATATCGTAATAAAATGTATTTTTTCCACATATCATAGTCAAAGTTTACAAACTTTGACCAAGAAAAGTCAAATGAGAAAAATATTTCCAGACGGAGGGAGTACAATTTTTATGAAATATTCAATTTCTTTTTGTAAAAATTTTATAATGACATTTGGTCAACAAACAAATACCTTAATACCTTTTTCTCAAAGTATTTAATTCGTTTCAAGAATTTAAATATGTCGATTTTCAACCGTTATAAACTTTTCTATAACTAACTTTCATTTGTAAAATATTTCACAATCCATATTTTATTTTATTTTATTAGCAATCTCTAACTTCAACGAAACTTAGATAATTATGTAAAACAATAACTTATTACCTTCTTGGAACTGTGATGAAGTGGAGGATACATTTGCACTATTTCAAAAACAATTTAGTCAAATGGTCCAAAAACCGATTTTGAAACCAACCTTGCTCAGATACCAAATTATAGCATCCTAACTCATCTAGATCTGTAGACCCTTTCAGAATAAAGTAACACACACATATATATACACTTTAATATAAAATTTGAGAGTTTGATGTGTAGAAATTTAACATGTGGCAATTAAGTATAGTCTTATTTAATTACATTTAAGTTACACTTAAGTTTACAGTTGTCCACTTCTACGACAAAATAGCAGAACCCTTCCCAATTGCCGATTCTCCTCCTATGTATGCCCTATCGTAGATTTCTTCATCAGCCAAAACTTCTTCGCCAAAAATTCGCTGATTCTTGTGGTAGATCTTCGCCGTAGGAAAAGGAAATCCGCTGATTCTTTGCGTATTCTTCACGGATTCTTCATGTCAATTTCGAAATCTAAAACGTCACAATCCCCTTATTCTTCTTTTACGTCAATTCGATAATCAGGTTTGTTTCCAAACTTCATATACAATCTTATTCAAATCATAACTTTGTGGATTCAGATTCTGGGCTCTCGAATTCCATACCTATGTCAGATTCTGGGCTCTCGATTTCCCTAATTTTTTGGGTAAATTGATTGATTATGAATCGCAGTTTGATTAAGTCCATGATTTACATAGGGTTACTCTTTCGTGTTTCTACCCGTAACTGCTGCAATCCAAACGGAGCAATCGCTATTCTCCATTTCTTCTTCCGTCTTCAAGCCTCTCTTTCTTAGGTCCGTCTTTCCCTTCATGTTGAGATGTTTTAGATTAGTAGATCAAAGTTAAATTATTGGTCGAAATATTTCATTCTATCCAGAAAAATTGTTGTGTTCACTTATTCCATGCACCACTAAATCATTCTAGCTAACATCAAGTTTTAGTGCAGAGTATATGACAACCACACCCTGTTGTGGTAGGATTTGACTTAGCTGTTATACTGAGTAAATGACAATTAAAAAAGTAATACAGAATTTCAAAGAATGAAACAAAGTTATACTGAGTAATGATGATTTTATTATTTAGTTAAATATAACTTCCAGATTCTGATACTTTTTTAATTCTCTCATGGATATCATGATTTTCTGAAGAATGTTTAGTTGATTTTTATTAAGGTCTGAACTTGACAATGTAGTCCACAAAGTTATAATTCATTTTTTCATAATAGAACAACTTGGCTTACAGATTAACAAGTAATGATGATTTTAGTATTTAGTTTACCGTAACTCCATATTCTAATTTGAGTATTTAGTTCACTTATTGATTTTTTCTATCTATAGACTCGTGTTATCTCTCTGCCATGTTCTATATTGGATTATGTAAGAGGTCAGTATTTTTTCCATTATATTGTAAAACATAAATTCATCATATTTATATACTAAGCATATTCATGTATAAATATATTTATTACATTATATTGAGCATGGATATTTGCGATTATGAGTTGCTAATTTTAGATTTATGAATTGCATGTTTTTAAATGCATGTTGTTATATGGTTCCACATTTCTTTGTATATCGTAAGTCTTAGATTCACCACTTGACAATACTTTAGTATTTTGAGGTTTGCAGAGTACTTAGACCCCTCTGTCTTTGTGATGGCTTAGATTTGTACCTCTACTATTTTTAATTATAACTTAAGTTTTATTTTTACTTTTTTTTGTTGATATGAGATTTTATAAGATTTTATCAAAACTTTATGCAGTAAACAATCAACCGTATTCCTTTATTATTTCAATTAAATATTAGAGGTAATATTCAAGCATATTTTTTATGCTTAAAGTAGCTTCAAATTTTAGATAGGATACTCTAGCTCAGATTTTTGCATTTTAACAGAATTGAAGATGGGATGATTCAGGACAGTATACACCTAGATAAGAAAATGGATTGTTTCCTATATAATGCAAAAGTTTATACTTTTAGTGGTTGAGTATTTGGGGCATTAAGTTATTATTTACTAATTTAGTAAGTCACTATCATATTTTTATTGTGTGTGGTTTAGTAAGTTGCATCATGAAATAATATACTCAGTATTTGTTCGGTAGCCAAAAAGAAAATGCAAAAACACAAGGAAAAATTTACTCACATGATGGTAGTCATTCTTACATGTTCCCTGCCAAGTAATTGTTTATTTAAAAAAATCTGATGGATTGCCTAATAAATGTCAGATGGTAGTCATTCTTACGTGTTCCGCTCTATAGAAAAGAAACTGGTGAATCATCCTCAAATTTATTCTTAATTACTTTTTCACTATTAATATTTAGCTTTATTCTATAAAAAATTAGAATCCCTTAACTTGACAAACTGGATGCACATTGGAGCTTTTATATTTAGTTCGAAAGCTGCACTTCTCACAAAAAATCTAAATGACCCTATAGGAATCCCAAAAAAAGATAGAACACAAGAAATGGTGGCTCAGAATGCCAGATGTGTGACAAGTCCTATCAAGAGGGGGAAACTGGTATGCTGGTAAGTTCATTGAACTTAGGCTCCGTTCCGTTCAACTTATTTTTTCTGATCTGATCCGATTTTTTGTAGTTCTGACCTGATCTGATTAGATCTGATCTGATTAATTATGATTTAATTTAAAATTCAAATCAATAATTTGATTTGACTTTATAATAACGTTTAAAGATTATAATGATAATTCATATTATAATATAATCAATATTTTTCATTTTATTATTATTTTTTAATAAAACAAAATTAGTTAATTCATATATTAAAATAATCATTCATATTTTAATGTAATAATATTTTTTATTTTATGATTATTTTTTTGTGAAATAAAAATATTGATTTAGTATTTTAATTATTACTTCATATATACATTGGAATAAATATTTAATTTATATATACATTAAAAAGTAAATAAATTTAGATAATCAATATAGAGAAGAGATAGTATTTTTATTAAAATATTTCATCATTGTAAAAGATTAAAAGTTTAGAAACTCAAATTACAGGTATAAATAAAAATGTATTTTAAAAGTAGAATTAGATTGACATTGTCAATGTATTTTAAAAATAATCTTTCCGACGTCTAATAATTAAAGATTACTTTCTCAGTTTTCTATTTAACTTGTTTCTAAAGTTTATTCTTTTTTATTTTTAAGAATAATAATAATAATAATACTCCCTCCGTCCGGGAATGATGTTCCCATTGTACGTTTTTTTCCGTCGAGAAATGATGTTCCCATTCTACTCTTTAACACATAAACTACCCAAAATACCCCCACCCAATTACTCTATTTTCTTTCTTCTTCTCCTTTCCTCACTCGGATCTCTGCCATTCTTCTTCTACCCTCTCTCATTCTCTCTCCACCTCTCTTCTACTTCTCTCTCCTCTCCCTCGTCTTCACCCCCTATCCTTTTTTGCCTTCTTTTCTTTCTCTAGATCTTCAAATCATTCTTTGGATCAGATTTCTTCTTCTTTCCCCATTCGGCCCCTTTTTTCTCCAAAACTGCTCCTTCCTTTTCTTCTTCATTTTCTTCTTTCCATTCTTTCTCATGTTTGCTTGTTTACCAGATCTGCGAGATCTACAACAATCGATGGATGCGATCGTAGAGCCTGCCGCGATAGTGGGCTAGCGACGACAGGGCATATGTTTTTCTTCTCCACTTTATTACTCAGTTTTTTAGATCTTGAATTTTGGGGTGGGTCTAATGGGATTGGCAATTATGCTGGAGATTGAGGCGATGGGGGCGGCGACAGTTGAGAGGGCCGGCGGCAGTAGTGGGGGTTGTCGGCGGCATTGATTGGAGCGGATGGAGTTTATGGGAGAAGTAGATTGGAGCGGTGGTAGTGCCCTGATGAGGGCAGGAGTAATGCTAGCAAAAGGGTATTTTGGACATTTACTTCTCATTGTCAACCCTCCTTAAAAATGAGGAAAAGTCAAACCGGGAACATCATTCCCGGACGGAGGGAGTATAATATTCTTCTCGGTTTGATTGGGACTCATTTTTAAGGGAGTGTAAAAATTGCTTTGACTTTCCAAAAATGCCCTTCTCTTACCTCTAGTCCTCTAATACCACCATCCGTCCTCACCTTAATGACCTTATCCTTTCATCCATTCCTGTTTCACGCTCCTATGTCCATAGCAACATGGCCGGCTTCGTCAGTCTTCTCGAAGTCTGCAAGAGCAGGAACCCACAACTCGCCATTGTCTGTGCATCTTCAAGCTCCGTCTACGGCTTGAACTCCAAAGTTCCCTTTTTTGAATCGGACAAAACAGATCTGCCGATGAGCTTCTACGCCGCCACCAAGAAAGCCGGTGAGGCAATCGCCCACTCCATCGTCTCAACTCTCATATCCCTCACGGCCTCACCTGGACTTTATGGAAATTAGATCTGAAGCTTCACCTTGGCCATCAAATTTCTATCATTGGTTTCTTGGAAACAAATCGATAGCTCATCCACAAATTTGAAAATTGCTCATATTCAAAATACACCTCATCAAAATGAAATACTTTGTAGTTAGCAGGAATAGAAATCTAAGAAAATGTTGAGTTAGGGATGGAAGAAAAATGGGGCAGTGGTAGATCTAGGGTTGGTTGGGCGGGGGTTGCGTAAATGGGAAGCTGGAGAGAGGTGGGTGGAGAAATAAATAATTTTGGGGTATTATAGTCATTACATGTCCATTTAAGGTGCGTGGGAAGATGATTTTAGGACGGAGAAAAAAGTGGGAATATGATTTCAGTACGGAGGGAGTAATAATAATAATAATAATAATTATAATAATTCTTGATGGGATCTGGTCTGATTTGATTGGATCTGATCTGATTAAATTTAATCTGATTGGATCTGATTCGATCTGATCTGGTCTGATCTGATCTTGATTTTAATAAGAATAAGAAAAAATAAGTTGAGCAGAACGGGGCCTTAGTTTCACCAAAAAAAATTATTTGAAGAGAGTACTATGCACGCATATCATTACTTAATAATTTCATATGTGCTCTCATTAAGTAACAACTTGATATGTATATGGATGAAGTTATCTTCAAGAGTAAGTTGTCATTGATTTCACCATTTATATCATAGTAGGATTTTCATTTGGACACATATGAGGCATATTGATGGGCCGATACCTGACGGGCGGCCCAAACTATGTGCCCAAGCGCGTTCGGGTATCTGCAGAAGTGTGGAATTGGCCCTGGCCAGCCCAAAGCCTTGGCCTGAGCTGACCCGGATCAGAGCATCGTGGAGAGTCCATCTTCAAGGAGTAGGACGCGGCTAGGTTGCGGAAAAAGAGCTGAAGGAAGAGGATCGTGCGAATCACGCGATTAGTTTCCATAATCGATAAACTACCCTAATTATGTAAAGGGCATGTATAAATAGAGGGGATCCGAACGGAAAACCTCAAGCTAAACCTAGCGTATAATTTCATAATTCTCGAGTTCTTGTTTCTCAATTGTTTTTACGATCCGACATTAAATCAGATTATTTGGTGGAATTCTTGTCCATCACATATATTCTTGAGGGAATGTCTATGATCTTGACAATGCAATACTCAGGTAATTTATAACTAGAAATAGGCCTCTTTTTTTTCTTCTAATTTCTCAATCATAATGACCTCCCTTGGTGTTTTTATTGGGTTGTTTTATGGAACTCTTCTTATGTTCCATATGATTAGCCAAAGTCCTTCAATGTTTATGGAACTTCATCGGTCACCTCTTCCTTACCGGCAAAGTTGTAAGCCTTCCATCCATCCCTCACCTATCGACACGTGAATTCTTCATCAGGTATCTCCTTTTACTGCTTCAGCATTCGGTATCGGATGTAACATATTTCTGAATAGCAATAAACTTTATTTTCGTTGTATTATCATGAGATTTCCACTTAATTTATTTAAAATGTAATTCATGTTATAAGAATTATCTAATTCAATGCATCCGTGTTAAAAAGTCATAAAAATATTCAAAAAAGTATGGTGAGCCTGGTTATCAACATTTTTTAATGAAACAAAGCCCGAACCTAATAACAATTTGGGTTTATTGGTTTGATTCTTTCCATATAGTATTATTCTAGCCCCGGATCTAAGAACCCTAGGATAGATGAATTGTCTTCTTTTGTGCTCAAGGATAAGTTTTATTTTTTATTAGAGGGTGTTAGTTAATGCATATTCTAAACAACAACATAAATTATTTCTAACATTATTTCTAAAGACGGATTCACCATAGTGTCCAATCATTGTGTTGTACAAATGATATGTATATATCGCACTAATATTGTATCACTATTTTAAATGGATTTCCGTTTCTGGTTTTAAAGAAATACTGAATATTCTGTCTTTGTTTTATCAACGCATGGGCTGGGAAGACCTTTTTTATCATTCTTTGATATATGACATTAACAATAATAATGGATGGTATTGCAACTTATGTGCGTACTGCTAGAGGTTAATTAAGGTGAGCGGTGGACTTTTTTTTGTGAAAGAGATGTGAGAAGATGGTGGATCCAGGTCAGTTTCATTTGATATAGTTGTTCTTAGTGTTTCTTTATAAGTAGATTAAATATACTCTGTCTTACTATAATTTCCTATCCTCTTAAAAGAATACACATAAATATGTAAGGATTGTTATACTCAGCTTAAAGAGAACTCTTTAAGATATAAAGCCGTCTCTATGGATTCAGGGAGAAGTATTTTGGTTTGGCTGCAGAAGTTTTTGATGGCTTTTGAAGTCCTTGCAAGATTTTTTTGTTTAAAACATTTGATTCTTCAAATATAATACTTTTGTTGAGTTGTTGCTCATTCATGCTCTTTATTTGAATTTAGTAATTTTTTATTTGTGTTTTTGTTTGATGTTCGAAGAGATTATGAGTATTAGTTATTAAATTGCCAATTATATTATTTTGTTGTTTCAAATGAACAATGATGATACATTCATAATTTAATTAAGTAATTTATAGTTTAATTTGCATCTTTGTTTCCTTTTTGTCTTGGTGTTCAATGAATGATATTTTTATATTATTATTATATTATGAACTTTAGCCATAGGCAAATTTGTCCTGAAGTATGATAGTTGGGCTTAGAATTTTTGTTTAGTTTCGAGATCATTCTTCTAGCGATATTTTATGCTAATATCCCATTATTCTTAGTTTTCTCTTGCTTTTAAAAAATGTTCCATTATTCTTAGGTTTTTGTTGTTGTTGTTGTTGTTGTTTTTGTTTTATTCCATTATTATTGGTATCAAATTATATCCATTTGGGAATTGAATATGCGTTTTTTCGTGTAACAACCCCTACTCCCTCCTCCGGCATTTGTTTATCTGTACTCAGTGCTAAATCTTATAAGGTCAGTTCTTAAAGAACACTATGTTTTTTGTGGTCAATTACTAATTTTTATTTGATTATCTTTCAAATTATACCACTAAAATGTGTGGATCTACATGTTTTCTTTTATTTTTTTAGTTTAATGATAAACTTTGGTCCCCGAATATTTAATTAATAGAATAGTGTGGGTGTTTAATTCCATAAGTCTGATGATTTTCCTGCATTACATTTAATTTGAGTTTTCTGCTGACATTTTAAGCTACTTCTTCATATTCTTATCATTTCCACAAACTTTCTTCAATGGGTCTATGGAACTAATGGCCGTCCCTAAAAAGAAGCTTCATCCTCTAACAACTTCCCTAACATGACAATTAATTTTGAACACGCTGAAAGTACCATTACATAACCTTTTCAAATTGCTAAAGCAGGTTACTGGTCACAAGAGTTACTCCAAAGCTATTGCCAATGAATCGCAGGTTACTCGTCACAAGAGGGGGGATACAAATGGACCAAAGGCATTGAAACCTCAACCTCTGATAATCCGCTGCACGTAAGTACTTTCAATATCTCATTTCACCCAAACTTGAATGCCCCCTGCCATAAAAAAGAACGACAATCCCAGTAAAACCCCACGAAAGTAGGGTTTAGAGAGGGTGATATGTATCCAAAACTCACCCCTACTTGTAAGTATGCCTATAAACTCTCAAACACATTATGTAATTTAGTAGGGTTTGTGGCAGAGTGAAATTACCACACTTGTTCTGTTGTGGCGGGATTCGGCAAGAGGCAGTGCAGTAGAGGGAGAGGATGATGAAATGAGGGAGTAGATATGCACTTTTCATTCCTGAACCAGCACTTTGAGTGAACCATTATCAAAAAGTTCAAAGTCTGATTTTTCTAAAATATTAAAACTACACTTTTTCTTCGAAGATTTGCCATTGGTGTTGTGTTCAAATGGTTTGTTTAATCAAAACATCTTCAAAGTATTAGCTTTGTTTGACTTGTCATAATGTAAAACAAGTTACATATTTGCAAGATCATCATATTCACTTGAATAAGACGTAAGGTAAGGAATATTAACACCACAGCCTCCTCTTATAATTGGGTCAGGGACTCTGGGTTGGCCCAACAACTTATGACTTCATTTTTAAAAATTTCAGGTTACTTCGGGTTCGGACTACTTGATGTTCGGGTCAATGCGGGTTCAAGTAGAGAACTATATGTTCATCACCATTATCATTCGGTTTGGGTTGACCCAACGGGTTATGACTTTGATTTTAATCAAATTTTAAGTTCATATTAACACTTGCATTTTTCTTTAAGTAAAATTAAAATATTAAGAAAAAATGTACTATATCTATTATATTATTTTATTTTAAATAATGAAATAATTTTACCTCTTAGATCTATATAATTTGAAGCTCCAAACAATTGAAGTACAATCTAAGACCAATATTTAGGCTCGAGCTTCTCAATGCTGTTATATAACCACTACCTTCATCTGTTGGAATAAAATTGTGATGTGAGGTCCAAACATTGAGGAATCTTAATGGTTTAGGTCAACTGAACCTATCTGTTAAGCACCTTAGGAGAATTGGTTTGTGATGAGAAGTAGTTTTACTAAGGTGAAAAGAGCTGATATCATTAAAAATCTGGTTGCAATGGGAATTTGTAAGGATCCTGTCCAGCCTTCTCCGTAACCTTCCCTTGCATCTGATACCTAACCAGGTATAAATTCCACCACTGAAAGGGGAGGAGGTCAGTTCACAATTCTGAATGCAATCTCCAAATTCTTCCAGGTCTTTTGAGTTAGGGTCAGCACTCCCTTTGTGCTCATTGAAATGTAGGATTGTGTTGAAGTCACCCCCCACCACCCAAGGATGGTCAACAGAGCTTAATTTAATAAGATCCTCCCAAAGTTGTCTTCTATGTGATGTACTGTGGCCACCATAAACTGCTGTGATGCTGAATTTTGATTTGATATTGGAGCTCCAGAATTCACAGCTCAAGCATTGGTTATCTTTATTAAAACCCTGTAGGGAAAGTGAGCTTGATTTCCAGAAAATCCATATTTTGTTGTAAAGCCCATCTTTGGAGAAGTTGAAACCAAGGTTGAGTGAATGCCATTCCCTTTTTTTCCTGTTAACAATAGGTTCAATGAAGCACAAATAATCAACTTTATATAAATTTACTAGATATTTCAGCCTATTTAGAGAAGAGGCTGCTCCACAAACATTCCAAAATAAACAATTCATAATAATTTTTTGGAGTGTCCTTCAGTAGCCCTTGTTTTACTTCTGGTCATGATAGTCCTGAGTGATGGTAGTTTTCCCTTCTTGTGAGATTTAGGGATGGCAAGGGAGGGAGAGTTTTCTTTAGGGAAAGGTATTTCAAAGGGTTGGAGTTCTAAGTTGATCCAAAAAGTTGGTTCCTTTTCCCCTTCAGAGTGACAAACAGCCTCAGGGAGTTCATCATCTCCTTCACTACCTATACCCATTCCATCTGCAATCCCTTCTTGAGGATCTATCAGATACAAGTCATCCTTTGAGCCCATGTCCTGTATTTTTGTTTTGTGGATAGTATCTGATAAACTTTGAATCTTCCCTTGAATGTGATAGTTAATTGTTTCCTTACTTGCTGTTTTCAGGAATATTTTTGAAGCAAAGGATTTAGCAGCTGAGAAGGAAGGAAAGTGTTCCTGTACATTGAATAGGGAATTTAGGCCCCACTTTTGATTCTGGTCACATTCATCTGGTAAATGGCTTTGAAAGTTAGCTGAATCTATAAGAGGGGTGTGTAGAGGTGAGTCACATGGTTGAGCTGCAGGGTTTCCAATGAGAGGTTGAAAATGTCCTGTAGTGGTTGGAAGGAATTCTGTGGCCCCCTTGACTGCAAAAGTTGTTTGGAAAGAAGTCCCTGAATGTTTAACTGGTACCCATACATGAGAACTATTAGGATGAGTTGCCTGGTACCTCTTGGATTTACCCAATGTCCAGCCTGCATCCTTAGCACTAGGATGAGTAGCCTGGCCCCTCTTGGGGTTCTCCAATGACCAGCCTGCATCCTTGCATCCTTACGTTTAATGTATAGGTGAGGTGAATGTGTAGCCTGGCACTCCTTAGAATTGGATTCTAATATCCAGCCATCATTCACCCCAAATCCCTGCTTCCAACCAGTAGGGTCCCTATCCTGGCTTAATTTCTTTTTACTATTAACCTTCCCAGATTTACTTCTAACTTCAGTCCATAGTGAGGTATCCTTGGGGATAGGATAAACTGATTTACCCTTGTCGCTTGGATCATCTGGATAGTGGCCATGTGATCTGCACTTGAACTGAGAGGGTCCAAGTTTACAACACTTATTGCAGAATCCTGGGAAATTCTCAAATGAGCAATGTAGGATGAGATCTCTGGGGCCAATTCTAATGTGAACCTGTGGAGGAAGAGGCCTAGAAATGTCCATCTCAATCCAGCACCTAGCTTCTTTAGTGCGAATCAGATGGGCTGTTCTAGAGTCCATGATACATGGTTTCCCCAAGGTGCTAGCTACGATAAATAGTGCCTTGGAATTAATAAGATGGGTAGGTATGTTTTTGAATGTGACCCAAATAGGAATAATTTGACAGTCTTTTGAGGAACAGTATTCTGGAGTCCATTTGAACATATATATTCTGATATGGTTAATGTACGAGTTACCTCTCATGAAGAATCTAAGATATTCCTCCTCTTTGCAAAAAATGAACAGGATATCATTGTTGGAAAGTCTGCGAAGTTTGAATCCTCCTTGGAATCCTATGCCAACAAGGAACTCTTTGATTGTCAGCAAGTTGAGGTGCCTGCTAGCTCTGCCTACCAGGGCATATTGAAGATTCTCACAGAGTTGTCTTTCTTCTTCCAATGTGAATGCAGCAGATGGCATGTTTTTAAACATTCCTTCCACTTTTCCCAAGTGATTGTTTCCATCTATGAAAAGTTCAGAGAATAGTTTCTGTGTACCTGTTGATGAAGAATATGATGAATGATTATGAGGGAGTTTGAGATATTTCGTGTTATAGTGAGAACTGGCCGGAGTATTTACCGGAAAACCAGAGAAATCCGACCTTCTCTCTCCTCATTTTCATCGTTTTATTATATATATATGTATATATATATGTATATATATATATATATATATATAATGTTTCTGTAGACTAAAACATTTAATTGTTCAACAGTCTCACTAGGATCCCTTAGACCTTTTTGATGATCTTAGCCAAATGGTCAAGAAACGTAGTAGAAAATTTATTTTTTAGTAGATGAGTCCCACCACATTAAAATTTAAACACAACGCAGTAACAAAAAATATTACATATATACTTGGCTGGAGAGTCAATTTCACAGTATTCACCTTGGTAAGAGATTTTCCTATTTATTAACCTCTTTCATGTCCTATCTCATGACAGGGTTCATGCCGAGTCTTCTTTATTGGCTGGAGCTCTGCGGTACTTTCAACAAAATGGAAATTTCAACGCCTCCACTGATCAACAAAATAGAAATTTCAACGCCTCCACTGATCAACAAAATGGAAATTTCACCATGTACAGGTATTGGTTTTCCGCTTTTTGTCAGATATCTCCCAAAAAAATGGCTTAATATGAACTGCTGCACTCTAATCAAAACCACACTATTACAAATAGGTGCTTAAGGCCATGCGACGTTCAGATTCCACTAAACCGGCTATATTTACCCTGTCAAACGCCAGAGACAATGGTTGGTCTTCATTCTTAAAGCCTGTTAATGACATATTCATTCTTTTTGTACTTATTCACAATTTTTAAAATGGGAATAACTTAATGCACTCCGGCAATTGGTTGTTGGGTTAGGTTCTGGATAGGGATTTTGTTTCTTACTTTGGGGATTGGACCTGGTTTTGGGTTTGGTTTTGGGTTAGGTTCTAGGTTGTCTTTTAACTTTAGTGTTTGACAATCAAATTTGCGTTAGGTTTGCGGGTACAATCCGTTGGATTTTAATTTTTAGGTCAGACTCTAGGTCGTGTTTTGAGCTAAGGCAATTGCGTTTTACTGTCTTGTTTTTTGTTGTGTTTTGAAGGGAACATTGCTTACAGATTCCAAGATATCACTTTCTTCAATGGGTCTATGGAACTAATGGCCGTCCCTAAAAAGAAGCTTCATCCTCTAACAACTTTCTTAACATGACAATTAATTTTGAACACGCTAAAAGTACCATTACATAACCTTTTCAAATTGCTAAAGCAGGTTACTCGTCACAAGAGTTACTCCAAAGCTATTGCCAACGAATCGCAGGTTAGCCGTCACGAGAGGGGGGATACCAAATGGACCAAAGGCATTGAAACCTCAACCCCTGATAATCCGCTGCACGTAAGTACTTTCAATATCTCATTTCACCCAAACTTGAATGCCCCCTGCCATAAAAAAGAGCGCCAATCCCAGTAAAACCCCACGAAAGTAGGGTTTGGAGAGGGTGATATGTATCCAAAACTCACCCCTACTTGGAATATGCCTATAAACTCTCAAACACATTATGTAATTTAGTAGGGTTTGTGGCAGGGTGAAAGTACCACACTTCTGTTGTGGCGGGAGTCGGCAAGACGCAGCGCAGTAGAGGGAGAGGATGATGAAATGACGGAGTAGATATGCACTTTTCATTGCTGAACAAGCACTTTGAGTGAAGCATTAGCAAACAGTTCAAAGTCTGATTTTTTTAAAATATTAAAACTACACTTTTTCTTTGAAGATTTGCCATTGGTGTTGTGTTCAAATGGTTTGTATAGTCGAAAAATCTTCAAAGTATTAGCTTTGTTTGACTTGTCATAATGTAAAACAGGTTACATATTTGCAAGATCATCATATTCACTTGAATAAGACGTAAGGTAAGGAATATTATCACCACAGCCTCCTCTTATAATTGGGTCTCGGACTCTGGGTTGGCCCAACAACTTAAAAATTCATTTTTAAAAATTTCAGGTTACTTCGGGTTCGGACTACTTCATGTTTTGGTCAATGCGGGTTCAAGTAGAAAACTATATGTTCATCACCATTATCATTCGGTTTGGGTCGACCCAACGGGTTATGACTTTGATTTTAAACAAATTTTAAGTTCATATTAACACTTGCATTTTTCTTTAAGTAAAATTAAAATATAAAAAAAAAAGTACTATATCTATTAAATTATTTTATTTTAAATTATTAAATAATTTTACCTCTTAGATCTATATAATTTGAAGCTCCAAACAATTGAAATACAATCTAAGACAAATATTTAGGCTCGAGCTTCTCGATGCTGTTATATAACCCCTACCTTCATTGCTCACATCCGCCGTGTGAAACTTTGAACAAAACAAATCAATCACCCAAGAACAAAAACATTATATAAATATAAATATATATATATATAAATACACACACACACACACACACACTCCCTCCGTCCGGAAAAAATCTTCCCATTTCCATTTCTAATACACTAACTACCAAAAATACCCCACTTAACATTTTCACATTTTCTCTCCCCTATCCCCTTTCACTCTCCTCCCATAAATCCTCACCACACAGTCCTCTTAAGTCTTATCTTTCCCTCCTTCCCTTTTACTGCCATCGGTTCCTCTCTTCTTCCTCCTCTTTTTTCTTCTTCTTTTTTTCATCTCCTTCCCCTCCCTCCCCCCATTCTTCTCCAGATCTCTGCCTCTCTCTTTTTATTTTTCTTCTTCTTCTTCTTCTTCTTCTTTCTTCTTCTTCTCTTCCCGAAATTCTTCTCTTCCCTCTCTTCCAGATCTAGGATAGATCTGTACTAGATCTTCTCATCTTCTTCCCTTCTTTTTTCTCTTCCCCTTTTCTATTTCTCCTGGAGGAGAGATGGTGGCGGGCTGGCAGCTAGGGATAGTGCGACTGATGGTGAGTGGTTACGTCAGGGCTGAGGGGCGATTGTGGTGGGGGCTGGGTCAATTGTGGTAGAGGCGATGGCGACGGTGGTTGGGGCTGGATCAATTTTGGCGGAGCTGACGGTGACGATGGAGCCGGGGTTGATGGCGGTGGTGGGTGCCAGCCCTGGCACAGATCAGGGGAGGGGAGGGGAGGGTTGGGGTTGTAAATCAGGAAAGAAATAAAGGGTATATTGGACATTTCACTTCCAAAGTCAACCATTCAAAAAAATGAGAAAAAGTCCAAATGGGAAGATTTTTCCCGGACGGAGGGCGTATAATGTTTTTGTAGACTAAAACATTTAATTGGGAACAGTCTCAGTAGGATCCCTTAGACCTTTTTGATGATCTTAGCCAAAAGGTCAAGAAACGTAGTAAAAAATTTATTTTTAAGTAGATGAGTTCCACCACGTTAAAATTTAAACACAACGCAGTAACAAAAAATATTACGTATATACTTGGCTGGAGAGTCAATTTGACAATATTCACCTTGGTAAGAGATTTTCCTATTTATTAACCTCTTTCATGTCCTATCTGATGACAGGGTTCATGCCGAGTCTTCTTTATTGGCTGGAGCTCTGCGGTACTTTCAACAAAATGGAAATTTCAATGCCTCCACTGATCAACAAAATGGAAATTTCACCATGTACCGGCATTGGTTTTCCTCTTTTTGTCGGATATCTCCCAAAAAAGAATTGTCTTAATATGAACTGCTACACTCTAATCAAAACCACACTATTACAAATAGGTGCTTAAGGCCATGTGACATTCAGATTCCACTAAACCGGCTATATTTACCCTGTCAAACGCCACAGACAATGGTTGGTCTTCATTCTTAAAGTCTGTTAATGTCATATTCATTCCTTTTGTACTTATTCACAATTTTTAAACATGGGAATAGCTTAATGCACCCCTGCAAGTGGTTGTTGGGTTAGGTTCTGGGTAGGGATTTTAGTTCTTACTTAGGGGATTGGACCTGATTTTGGGTTTGGCTTTGGGTTAGGTTCTAGGTTGACTTTTAACTTTAGTGTTTGACAATCAAATTTGCGTTAGGTTTGCGGGTACAATCCGTTGGGTTTTAATTTTTAGGTCAGACTCTAGGTCGTGTTTTTAGGCAATTGCGTTTTAGTGTCTTGTTTTTTGTTGTGGTTCTAAATACTATCGAATTGTTGTGGTTCTAAATACTGTCAACCTCAGATTTCCAGATTCTAGGCGTTGCGTATCAGACGTGCAGATTTCCCGGTATGATTGAAACGTTTTCTCTGATTCCTCGTCTTGTATTTATGGATCCTTCCCTTAATAATCCCCTGCCAAGTGCCAATTATTTCAGCGTGTACGTTGGGCTATTTATATTCGATTTTGGGAGATGGGATGAGACACCATCTCCAAGATTCCTCCTAGGTATAATCTTATGAGTTCTTTGGCTTGTTCTTATCTTTGTTGTTTCTTTCTATTACTGAAAGAAGGGTCATTTTTCACCTACAGGTAGGGCTGAACCTGCAACAGGTTGGAAAATTATTCTTCAGGTAATTTAAATTCCATGTATTCAAGAGTGCTCAAATTCAGATGTGTATTCTGCTCAAATTACTTCCTTTGAACATTCTGCATAATAACTTGCAAGCTTGTGACTATAAAGAATACATTTTTTAGCAGTTTATAAATTATGGCCTGTTTTTTACGTCTTTGCAATCCTGTTTGAAACTGAAAAATGAGAGGTGTGCCATGTGATTTTTTAAACTTCATGGCTATAAAGTACGGAGTGAGTGTTGGACTCTGGTAAAGGTTAGGAGTGAGTGTTGGACTCTTGAAATCCATTATGCAAATGGGTTAGAATGGTTGGGTATACACAATTCTTTTCCAACTCCGTTCACCGCTCAGGAGGAATAAACATTAGCCAAATTCTAAGAAAGATAAATCGTATTACATTTGCTTGTGTACTGAGGGTTGATAACAAAAAATTTGAAGGACCAAAGAGGAGGAGTTGCACAGTGAATGTGTTGTGTGAAGATATCGTATTGCCGGAGGGCATTATGAATGTTGGAAAGGAAAGGGAAATAAGTGGTGAAGGACGAAGCCGGAAACGGGTGACATTTGATGAGAATGATGGAGACCATGAAGACGTCGTGCATACTCTGCCAGAAGAAGAAACAGGCCCTGACAATACAGCCAAAAAACAAAAAAAAATAGAATTATTTGGTTTCTATATTTATTCATAAAGTATTTTCAAGATTTCTTAAAGACTATGTTGAAAATACTTTTCACCCTTACCATTATTTCCAAATACACTTTCTGAATTTTTATGATATTATTTTAAATTTGGTTTATACCATCAGCAATTCAAATGGTAGTTGTTGTTATGAATTTATTTTTTCACTATAATCTCTGAAACTTTACTCCATCAAGGAATAAAAGGGTTACGTATTTTAGCATCCTCTGTCATGTTCCAAAGTCGTTCAAACCAAGGACTTCGTTATAGTGTTCAAATTTTTTTCCTTTTACTTTTTCCCCTTTCCCCTAACAGACATCGGGTTTTTCCCTTAACAAACATCGGGTGGATCGTTCCCTGTAGCTTTTTATATTCTCTCATAGGGGATTTAGTTAACTCCTCTACCCTTCTACCTTTCTTTATTAAAAAAAGAATGCTTTTAAAAATGTACCCGAAAAGACTATTATCTATCTGAAATCCACAATTCAAAAAAATGACATAAGAGACTTAAATGATTATTTCTACTCACTACACATTATGCCTTAGAGTATTCATATAGTTTTGTCACCAAGTATACATTCACAAAATAGAAAATAAAGTAGGGTTATTTCATTGTGAGGGTGACACGTGGAAGGTGAGATGGAGGTGACATGACATTGAGGTGGATTTAGTGTTTACAAAAGCGTTTCACATTCGGCCTTGAAAATCAGACGCCACCCAAATACGCCGTTTCATATGCTTTAACCGGCGCCTGTTCCCCTATGCGACCTGAGAAGTTCAAGAAACCGGCCCGTCAAGCATCGATTCCGGTGAGCAGCTTCCGGAACCCATCCGTCGACCCTCAGAATTAGCCAAACCCATTGGGCACGAATGAGCCAGTACGAAGAAGGAACATTCCAGATTCAGTTTTGGACGCATTTTGACAAGTTTGCGCCCGTTCACCAGTCATGGTGCATCTATCGAGCAACTCCGCCTAACCCATCAGGTATTATCTTCTTCTTTATGACCTTTTCCTAAAACTACTGTATTTAAACTGTGAATGGCAGGCAGCACCAAAAACAACCGCTTCTTATGCCTTTGTTGTCCACTCTTCAGAAATATAAATCCAATCTGATTAGTTTCCTATTTCAAGAATTTTGAGGAAAAAATATCAGTTGATCATTCTCAACTAAGCTAAAGCCCTACTGCACCTTAGCCTTTTAATCAATCATTGGGGGATTCATATCTGAACTCTTTCTCTGTGTTGCTTTAAAATTCTTTCGTCTCTCATATCTGCATCTATTGTTCCGCGTCTAGCTTTTAGTTAAACAAAGAGGGCTGATATTTTGATTGCTTATTCTTTCCAAGGTTATTAGGATTGCTGGTTAGATTGTGAGATCATATTTGTTCTTTCAGCACCCCTTATTGATTGAATTGCAAATCAATACCCCTAATTAGACAAATTGCAAAAATGCAATCCAGCCAAGAATCAAGATTGCCCCGTACTTTTACCTAATTGTCAATATTTTGCAGGCCCTATTTTGTGTAATTGAAGCTGAATGGACGAAGATTACTCCTACTACTTTTTTTTTACAGTCCTGCAACCACTACTACCCCTTTTAATCATTTAATGTGTGAATGTTATAAGTGAATTTTATTTAGGGGGAGATTAAGATAATAATATTAAAGAGAAATGAAAATAAGAGTAAGAATTGACCTCATGGAATCTTATAGCCCACAGTATACAGGTCTAATTTTGTATAGTATACCACATGACCTATTAGCATTTTTATAAGTGTTAATTTATTTATATGTCTTCCTATTAATAGTAACCATATCTTTTAACTTTGATTTATGATGATGCCTCATATTTATAGGTTTTGGAAGTCAGAAATGGATTCTACGAGAACTCATGCTGCAGCTTTGGATTTTGCTTCTATATTCCCTTCATTAATGAAAGTTCATAATTTACTTCTGGTCATGATAGTCCTGGGTGATGGTAGTTTTCCCTTCTTGTGAGATTTAGGGATGGCAACAGAGGGAGAGTTTTCTTTAGGGAAAGGTATTTCAAAGGGTTGGAGTTCTGAGTTGATCCAAAAAGTTGGTTCCTTTTCCCCTTCAGAGTGACAAACAGCCTCAGGGAGTTCATCATCTCCTTCACTACCTGTACCCATTCCATCTGCAATCCCTTCTTGAGGATCTATCAGATACAAGTCATCCTTTGAGCCCATGTCCTGTATTTTTGTTTTGTGGATAGTATCTGATAAACTTTGAATCTTCCCTTGAATGTGATTGTTAATTGTTTCCTTACTTGCTGTTTTTAGGAATATTTTTGAAGCAAAGGATTTAGCAGCTGAGAAGGAAGGAAAGTGTTCCTGTACATTGAATAGGGAATTTAGGCCCCACTTTTGATTCTGGTCACATTCATCTGGTAAATGGCTGTGAAAGTTAGCTGAATCTATAAGAGGGGTGTGTAGAGGTGAGTCACATGGTTGAGCTGCAGGGTTTCCACTGAGAGGTTGAAAATGTCCTGTAGTGGTTGGAAGGAATTCTGTGGCCCCCTTGACTGCAAAAGTTGTTTGGAAAGAAGTCCCTGAATGTTTAACTGGTACCCATACATGAGAACTATTAGGATGAGTTGCCTGGTACCTCTTGGATTTACCCAATGTCCAGCCTGCATCCTTAGCACTAGGATGAGTAGCCTGGCCCCTCTTGGGGTTCTCCAATGACCAGCCTGCATCCTTGCATCCTTACGTTTAATGTATAGGTGAGGTGAATGTGTAGCCTGGCACTACTTAGAATTGGATTCTAATATCCAGCCATCATTCACCCCAAATACCTGCTTCCAACCAGTAGGGTCCCTATCCTGGCTTAATTTCTTTTTACTATTAACCTTCCCAGATTTACTTCTAACTTCAGTCCATAGTGAGGTATCCTTGGGGATAGGATAAACTGATTTACCCTTGTCGCTTGGATCATCTGGATAGTGGCCATGTGATCTGCACTTGAACTGAGAGGGTCCAAGTTTACAACACTTATTGCAGAATCCTGGGACATTCTCAAATGAGCAATGTAGGATGAGATCTCTAGGGCCAATTCTAATGTGAACCTGTGGAGGAAGAGGCCTAGAAATGTCCATCTCAATGCAGCACCTAGCTTCTTTAGTGCGAATCAGATGGGCTGTTCTAGAGTCCATGATACATGGTTTCCCCAAGGTGCTAGCTACGGTAAATAGTGCCTTGGAATTAATAAGATGGGTAGGTATGTTTTTGAATGTGACCCAAATAGGAATAATTGGACAGTCTTTTGAGGAACAGTATTCTGGAGTCCATTTGAACATATATATTCTGATATGGTTAATGTACCTGTTACCTCTCATGAAGAATCTAAGATATTCCTCCTCTTTGCAAAAAATGAACAGGATATCATTGTTGGAAAGTCTGCGAAGTTTGAATCCTCCTTTGAATCCTATGCCAACAAGGAACTCTTTGATTGTCAGCAAGTTGAGGTGCCTGCTAGCTCTGCCTACCAGTGCATATTGAAGATTCTCACAGAGTTATCTTTCTTCTTCCAAAGTGAATGCAGCAGATGGCATGTTTTTAAACAATCCTTCCACTTTTCCCAAGTGATTGTTTCCATCTGTGAAAAGTTCAGAGAATAGTTTCTGTGTACCTGTTGATGAAGAATATGATGAATGATTATGAGGGAGCTTGAGATTTTTCGTGTTATAGTGAGAACTGGCCAGAGTATTTATTGGAAAGCCAGAGAAATCCGACCTTCTCTCTCCTCATTTTCATCGTTTTATTATATATATATATATATGTATGTATATATATGTGTGTATATATATATAATGTTTTTGTAGACTAAAACATTTAATTGTTCAACAGTCTCACTAGGATCCCTTAGACCTTTTTGATGATATTATCCAAAATGGTCAAGAAAGACAATGGTTGGTCTTCATTCTTAAAGTCTGTTAATGTCATATTCTTTCCTTTTGTACCTATTCACAATTTTTAAACATGGGAATAGCTTAATGCACCCCTGCAAGTGGTTGTTGGGTTTGGTTCTGGGTAGGGATTTTGTTTCTTATTTAGGGGATTGGACCTGATTTTGGGTTTGGCTTTGGGTTAGGTTCTAGGTTGACTTTTAACTTTAGTGTTTGACAATCAAATTTGCGTTAGGTTTGCAGGTACAATCCGTTGGATTTTAATTTTTAGGTCAGACTCTAGGTCGTGTTTTGAGCTAAGGCAATTGCATTTTACTGTCTTGTTTTTTGTTGTGTTTTGAAGGGAACATTGCTTACAGATTCCAAGATATCACTTTCTTCAATGGGTCTATGGAACTAATGGCCGTCCCTAAAAAGAAGCTTCATCCTGTAACAACTTCCTTAACATGACAATTAATTTTGAACACGCTGAAAGTACCATTACATAACCTTTTCAAATTGCTAAAGCAGGTTACTCGTCACAAGAGTTACTCCAAAGCTATTGCCAATGAATCGCAGGTTAGTCGTCACGAGCGGGGGGATACCAAATGGACCAAAAGGCATTGAAACCTCAACCTCTGTTAATCCGCTGCACGTAAGTACTTTCAATATCTCATTTCACCCAAACTTGAATGCCCCCTGCCATAAAAAAGGACAATCCCAGCAACACCCAAGGCTGTTCTTGCGTAAAGATTGGAATGTCCAAAGTGCTACAATGAGTATCACTAAGTGGACTACTGATTTTGATCCCACCAAGGTAACCCCTATCATCCCTGTTTGGATTTCCATCAATAATCTGCCCATCCACCTTCATGACAAACAAGCCCTGATGCCCATAGCTAATATCTTTGGTAAACCTTTAAAACTGGACACTACTACTGAAAATTTCACAAGACCTTCTGTGGCTCGGTTCTGTGTTGAAATGGACCTTTCAAAGCTTCCACAGAACTCTTTTTATGTCAAAAATGGGGATACTCCCCTGCTGTTACAAGCTGATTTTGAAAATCTCCCAGACTTCTGCAAAGTTTGTAGAGGCATCAATAGACACTCAGCTTCCTGCAAACACTCCCCTTCTCCCATGGCTAAGATTCCTCCCTCAAACAGCATCCAAACAAACAACCCATCTCACACTGATTTGGGCAAATTGGGTCCACCGGGAAACCAATCCAGTGCAAACTCTGCCAAACAGCTCCAAAACAAAAAACCAGCAGTCATTGACCCACTTCCCTCTCATCCCAGGCATATGCCCACACCCACTTGCCATAATCCCTCCCACAATCAAAACAACAACAACCTGCCAAACCCCAAAAATCCCCTCCTAATACAAATCAAACCAACAGCTACAAACCACAAACAAAAACCAAATCCAAAAATGGACCAGCCTCAACCCATAATTATTCCGGATGACCTTGCCCCCTCTTCTTCAAATCTTCTGAACCACAAGCCATACCCCAGCCATCAACCCCCATCCAGCCCCCAGGTCCATCCAAATGACTAGATTACTTTTGAAAACAATTTCCAAGAGGTTATGTTCTCATCTCTTTTCCACATTCTGGCCCTAGGAAGAGATGAAAACATCAAAGAAAAACTTCTTGAGGTGGAACACCTTCAACCTCAACCTGAAGACAAAGCTTACCACTCAGAGGGGGAAACTATATCCAGAAATGGCCATAAACCTGCAAACAAGAAAACAAATACATCAATCAGCAAACCCATGGATTCAGAAATCAAAAGGAGATCTGCAAGGCTCCAAGAAAAGGTTTCAACTCACAATTCCTTCTCTATCCTACAACAATGAATGCACTTTTTTGGAACATCAGAGGCATTGCATCAAACCTTCCTAGACTTATTTTTCTCATCAAAGATTTGCACATAAACTTTCTTGCTATTATGGAACCTAAAAGTCCTAGCTCAAAACTGACTCAATTCCAACTAAGCCTGGGTTTTGACTCCTCTGTTCATCTCTGTGACAATCAAATATGGGCTTTCTGGAATTCAGAATTTTTGTGTTTGGATCACATTTCCAATCACTCTCAGTTGGGGCATCTTGTTTTCACAAACAGACACCTTGCAACAAGACTACACATTTCAGCTATATATGGCAGACACACCAAGGAAGAAAGAAAGGAACTCTGGCAATGCATCTCTAGCCTTTCAAATAACATCACTGACCCATGGATCCTAGGAGGGGATTTCAATGCTATCAGTTCTATATCCCATCACAAGGGCAAAAGCTCACCATGCATTATTAGCATTATGGACTTTGACACTTGCATCTCCCAGAATGGTCTCATTGAGCCACCTTTCACTGGCTCCCCCTTCACTTGGCAAGGGGTTAGAAGTCTGGGAAAAATCTGGAGGAGATTGGACAGAATATTCTACAATACCCACCTGGAAGATCTTAATTGGTCAATCACTTCAGACCACTTGGCCAAAGGAGGTTCTGACCACTCTCCCATCCTTCTTCAAATCAAAAAACATATGGCTTTCCAAGGACCAATTCCCTTCAAATTCCTAAACTGCTGGACAAGCAATAACACCTTCCTCCCCCTGGTTAGGAACAACTGGGAGCCCTATAGGGGAGGAGGGATGAGAGGCCTTATGGACAAGTTGGGAAAACTAAGGAAGATCATTCAATGCTGGAACACTAATACCTTTGGGAACATATTCCAATCTAGAACCAAACAAGAAGAAGCCCTTAAGGAAGCTGAACACAATTATTGTGAAAACCCCTCTCATGACAACAACATAAAGGTGCAACAAGCCAGAACTACCCTTAACAAATGTTTGGTCACAGAATACTCCTACTGGAAACAAAAATCAAATCTAAAGTGGATCAAGGAGGGAGATCTTAATACTAAGTTCTTCCAAGCCTATGTTAAGAACAAAAGGAACTTCCAAAAGATTGAAAAAATCAGGAACAATGACAACAGATGGCTTCATGAGTGGGAGGAAATAGCTAAAGAGGCCAGATCCTTCTTTAACAACCTTTTCACCCATGAAAACACTATCCATTGCCCTGACATACTTGATAACATCCCCCATACTCTTAACCAAAATGACAACCTTTTTCTTTGTGCCCTTCCCACCATGGCAGAGGTTAAAGCAGCAATCTGGGATCTCAGTCCAGATAGCTCTCCAGTTCCAGATGGGTACACTGGACATTTCTTCATGGTCTGTTGGGATATCATTAAAGAAGATATTTGGAAAGCATGTCAAGAATTTTTTCTGGGAATTCCTCCTCCTAAATGCCTAACCACCTCCACCATCATCCTTATTCCTAAAACTGATAACCCTGCCACATTCTCTGACTACAGACCCATATGCCTTTCAAACTTCATTGCCAAAGTCATGTCCAGGATCATGGCTACTAGACTGTCAACTATTCTCCCTAGAATCATCAGCCCTGAGCAAGGAGGCTTCTTGAAGGATAGACTCATCCAGGACCAGATCCTTATAACTCAAGAGATGTTTCATGGTCTATCTAATAAGTGCAGAGGGGGGAATCTGGTTATCAAATTGGACATGTCCAAAGCCTTTGACAGAGTCTCTTGGGAATATCTATTGGAAGTTTTGAGGAGATTTGGGTTTAACAATCAGATCTTACACCTAATCTACAACCTACTCTCCACTACCAACCTGGCTATTAACATCAATGGGAAAAATACTAAGGCATTCAAGACCTCTAGGGGTTTGAAACAAGGGGACCCCCTATCCCCCCTCCTGTTTATCATTGCCTTAGAAGGATTTAGCAAAACTATCAACAAATTGATCCTTCACAATCAGCTGAAAGGGTACAGCATGGGAAGGCATTACCACCCAATCTCCCACTTGGCCTATGCAGATGACCTAATCCTCTTCACTAATGGGGCAGGTCCTAATCTCAAAAACTTTCACAGATTCTTAGAAAGGTATGAAAGTTGCTCAGGACAGAAGGTGAATCTGGAAAAATGCAATTTCTTCCCTCCTCCTAAAACTCCCAACCACAGAATTCAATACATGAGCAAAACCCTTGGTATGAAACATGGATCTATGCCTTTTAAATACCTGGGTGTTCAGATTTTTAGAGGAATAAACAGAGCCCCCTACTGCCACGGCCTTATTGATCAATTTAACAAGCTGAAGGGTTGGCAGGGCAAACTGCTTAGCCACAGTGGGAGGCTAATCCTTCATCAAACACACTCTTAATGCTATTCCTATCCACACCCTAGCTGTCAACAAAATTCCTAAGTCCATCATCAAACTTCTCCACAACAAGATGTGCTCTTTCTTATGGGGTAGCAAGGCAGGTAAGGATAGCTATCACTGGGCTTCTTGGGAAAGGATCTGCTTGGATGAGGACAAAGGAGGTCTAGGAGTCAGGTCTTTGGACACACTTCAAGAGGCTTTCAGCCTGAAACTCTGGTGGAACTATCATGCCAACAACTCCTTTTGGAGCCATTTTATGAGAGAGAGATATCCTAGAAACAATAATTTCAACCCCAAAATCACAGACTCCACTATATGGAAAAGAATTTGCTCTATACATGAAACTGCCACTAATTTTTTCTTTCAGGAGAAGATGGAGACTACCCAGAAGAAGAAGATTTTTTCAGGAATAAAAAACTTTCTCTTAAGGAAGCTTACCAGGCCATCCAAGCACAAGTGGAAGAAGATACAATACATCACACGAGCATTATCTGGGACATGAAGCAAATCCCCAAAATATCTTTTTTCCAGTGGCGGCTATACTTCAACCTGCTACCATTCCCAAAACAATTAATCAAATTTGGGATAAGCATGCCATCCCAGTGTCCTTTATGCAAAAAAGACTGTGACTCAGATTTCCACACTCTCTTCCAATGCTCCTACGCTAAAACTACCAGGAGCTACTTTGAGTGGATTTTCAAGATTCCATGGGAACCAACGCATGGGGTAAGATCCTACCTACAGAAATGGTGGCAATATTGCCATACAAAAACACTTGAAGGCTGGGTCAAAGGTATAATACCTGGAATCATTGTGCACCAACTTTGGAAGGAAAGGAACCAGCGAGTCCATGACAACAACAGCAGAGAACCGGGAAAACTGATTCAAGACTGTATCAGGCAGCTCCAAGACTGGATACTAGGGAGGGCTCCTTCCAAAATTAAAACCTTTGGTGCTTGGCGCCTTCCTTCTGAACTTCTGCAGCAAGGGAGGCCAGGACCTAAGATTCATCGATGGAGGAACATTGAAGATAACGCACTACACCTATCTACAGATGTAGCAATCAATACCTCACATGCTGTTGGGGGCGCAATCCTAAGAACATAGAATGGGGAATTAATCGCAGCAGGAATATGGTTGATCGACGACTTTAATGTTTTACAAGGTGAAGCTAAAGCTCTGGCACTAGGGGTTAAGTGGGCCGAACACTTTGGTAATCACATTTGGGCTAATACAGATTCCGAAACTTTATCGAAATCAATTTCTCGAGGCGTAAACCCGGGAATTGAACATGACTTGTGGTCAACACTACATCGAACATTCACTCATGAAAGGCATAAACTATCTCACATTTTCCGGGAAGGCAATATGGGAGCCCATTATCTGGCAAAATGGGCCAGTAGACACAAATTTTATAGTCAATGTATTTCCTTTAACATTATTCCACAGTATGTTCAAAGAGCCATCAGGGCAGATGTATCTTTACCGTTTTTGCGTTAATCAATAAAAAAACCCCTTTATTCAAAAAAAAGAATTGTCTTAATATGAACTGCTACAAATCAAAACCACACTATTACAAATTGGTGCTTGAGGCCATGTGACATTCAGATTCCACTAAACCGGGTATATTTACCCTGTCAAACGCCACAGACAATGGTTGGTCTTCATTCTTAAAGTCTGTTAATGTCATATTCATTCCTTTTGTACTTATTCACAATTTTTAAACATGGGAATAACTTAATGCACCCCTGCAAGTGGTTGTTGGATTAGGTTCTGGGTAGGGATTTTGTTTCTTATTTAGGGGATTGGACCTGATTTTGGGTTTGGCTTTGGGTTAGGTTCTAGGTTGACTTTTAACTTTAGTGTTTGACAATCAAATTTGCGTTAGGTTTGCGGGTACAATCTGTTGGATTTTAATTTTTAGGTCAGACTCTAGGTCGTGTTTTGAGTTAAGGCAATTGCGTTTTAGTGTCTTGTTTTTTGTTGTGGTTCTAAATACTATCAAATTGTTGTGGTTCTAAATGCTATCAACCTCAGATTTCCAGATTCTAGGCGTTGCGTATCAGATGTGCAGATTTCCCAGTATGATTGAAACGTTTTCTCTGATTCCTCGTCTTGTATTTATGGATCCTTCCCTTAATAATCCCCTGCCAATTATTTCAGCGTGTACGTTGGGCTATTTATATTCGATTTTGGGAGATGGGATGAGACACCATCTCCAAGATTCCTCCTAGGTATAATCTTATGAGTTCTTTGGCTTGTTCTTCTCTTTGTTGTTTCTTTCTATTACTGAAAGAAGGGTCATTTTTCACCTACAGGTAGGGCTGAACCTGCAACAGGTTGGAAAATTATTCTTCAGGTAATTTAAATTCCATGTATTCAAGAGTGCTCAAATTCAGATGTGGATTCTGCTCAAATTACTTCCTTTGAACATTCTGCATAATAACTTGCAAGCTTGTGACGATAAAGAATACATTTTTTAGCAGTTTATAAATTATGGCCTGTTTTTTACGTCTTTGCAATCCTGTTTGAAACTGAAAAATGAGAGGTGTGCCATGTGATTTTTAAAATTTCATGGCTATCAAGTACGGAGTGAGTGTTGGACTCTGGTAAAGGTTAGGAGTGAGTGTTGGACTCTTGAAATCCATTATGCAAATGGGTTAGAATGGTTGGGTATACACAATTCTTTTCCAACTCCGTTCACCGCTCAGGAGGAATAAACATTAGCCAAATTCAAAGAAAGATAAATCGTATTACATTTGCTTGTGTACTGAGGGTTGATAACAAAAAATTTGAAGGACCAAAGAGGAGGAGTTGCACAGTGAATGTGTTGTGTGAAGATATCGTATTGCCGGAGGGCATTATGAATGTTGGAAAGGAAAGGGAAATAAGTGGTGAAGGACCAAGCCGGAAACGGGTGACATTTGATGAGAATGATGGAGACCATGAAGACGTCGTGCATACTCTGCCAGAAAAAGAAACAGGCCCTGAGAATACAGCCAAAAAACAAAAAAAAATAGAATTATTTGGTTTCTATATTTATTCATAAAGTATTTTCAAGATTTCTTAAAGACTATGTTGAAAATACTTTTCACCCTTACCATTATTTCCAAATACACTTTCTGAATTTTTATGATATTATTTTAAATTTGGTTTATACCATCAGCAAATCAAATGGTAGTTGTTGTTATGAATTTATTTTTTCACTATAATCTCTGAAACTTTACTCCATCAAGGAATAAAAGGGTTACATATTTTAGCATCCTCTGTCATGTTCCAAAGTCGTTCAAACCAAGGACTTCGTTATAGTGTTCAAATTTTTTTCCTTTTACTTTTTCCCCTTTCCCCTAACAGACATTGGGTTTTTCCCTTAACAAACATCGGGTGGATCGTTCCCTGTAGCTTTTTATATTCTCTCTTAGGGGATTTAGTTAACTCCTCTACCCTTCTACCTTTCTTTATTAAAAAAAGAATGCTTTTAAAAATGTACCCTAAAAGACTATTATCTATCTGAAATCCAGAATTCAAAAAAATGACATAAGAGACTTAAAAAATGATTATTTCTACTCACTACACATTATGCCTTAGAGTATTCATATAGTTTGGTCACCAAGTATACATTCACAAAATAGAAAATAAAGTAGGGTTATTTCATTGTGAGGGTGACACATGGAAGGTGAGATGGAGGTGACATGACATTGAGGTGGATTTAGTGTTTACAAGAGCGTTTCACATTCGGCCTTGAAAATCAGACGCCACCCAAATACGCCGTTTCATATGCTTTAACCGGCGCCTGTTCCCCTATGCGACCGGAGAAGTTCAAGAAACCAGCCCGTCAAGCATCGATTCCGGTGAGCAGCTTCCGGAACCCATCCGTCGACCCTCAGAATTAGCCAAACCCATTGTTCACGAATGAGCCAGTACGAAGAAGAAACATTCCAGATTCAGTTTTGGATGCATTTTGACAAGTTTGCGCCCGTTCACCAGTCATGGTGCATCTATCGAGCAACTCCGCCTAACCCATCAGGTATTATCTTCTTCTTTATGACCTTTTCTTAAAACTACTGTATTTAAATTGTGAAGGGCAGGCAGCACCAAAAACAACCGCTTCTTATGCCTTTGTTGTTCACTCTTTAGAAATATAAATCCAATCTGATTATTTTCCTATTTCAAGATTTTTGAGGAAAAAATATCAGTTGATCATTCTCAACTAAGCTAAAGCCCTACTGCACCTTAGCCTTTTAATCAATCATTGGGGGATTCATATCTGCACTCTTTCTTTGTGTTGCTTTACAATTCTTTCGTCTCTCATATCTGCATCTATTGTTCCGCGTCTAGCTTTTAGTTAAATAAAGAGGTCTGATATTTTGATTGCTTATTCTTTCCAAGGTTATTAGGATTGCTGGTTAGATTGTGAGATCATATTTGTTCTTTCAGCACCCCTTATTGATTGAATTGCAAATCAATACCCCTAATTAGACAAATTGCAAAAATGCAATCCAGCCAAGAATCAAGATTGCCCCGTACTTTTACCTAATTGTCAATATTTTGCAGGCCCTATTTTGTGTAATTGAAGCTGAATGGACGAAGATTACTCCTACTACTTTTTTTTACAGTCCTGCAACCACTACTACCCCTTTTAATCATTTAATGTGTGAATGTTATAAGTGAATTTTATTTAGGGGGAGATTAAGATAATAATATTAAAGAGAAATGAAAATAAGAGTAAGAATTGACCTCATGGAATCTTATAGCCCACAGTATACAGGTCTAATTTTTTATAGTATACCACATGACCTATTAGCATTTTTATAAGTGTTAATTTATTTATATGTCTTCCTATTAATAGTAACCATATCTTTTAACTTTGATTTATGATGCCTCATGTTTATAGGTTTTGGAAGTCAGAAATGGATTCTACGAGAACTCATGCTGCAGCTTTGGATTTTGCTCATAGTTACAGAATTCGTACACCCAGCCGCGATTTCCGAATTGGTACGACTCGTACGCAATTGCAATTCGCCGGCGTTCCGATCGGCACTGGTACTGTGATCCAATTCGCCATGGTACGGCGCTCCAATTCGCGAAGGTACGGCGATCTAGATGCCCTCGAACGTCGCACCAAGTCGGAGAATTAGAGTGCCAATTGCTGGTGGTCCAGCGATCCAAATCGCAATTTCTTCTCTTCTGCGACCTTCCCTCTTCCAATTTGCGATTCTTCTCTTGGTAAATTTAAAAGCTCAATTCACGATTGCACTTCGCCAAAGTGTCGTTTGAGTCGTTCCTAGTCTCGATTGCACTTCCCCAAAGTCTGATATATATATATATATATATATATATATATATATATATATATATATATATATATATATATATATATATATATATATATATATATATATATATATATATATATATATATATATATATATATATGTATGTATGTATGTATGTAT